ATTATTGAAAATTATATGTTTGTACTTGATCATATAAGTATTACAATTGATACACTTGATAAATCATTAATGAATAGATTAAAACAAACGAATAATAATATTTTATCAACTGAAAATAATCTTAAAACATTAAAATTAATTTATGATACAAAACATAAAATGTTAAGTCTTAGAATTTTATGTCATCCATTGAGAGAAATTATTGTTAAATTACAAAAAGCACAAGATAGAATATCAATGGCGAATCAAAATGCACTTTATCGTCGACAATATCGAAGAAAAAAACGACCAAAACATATAACATTATCAGGAAATTATTTTTTTAATCCAAATTCGGATTCTCTTACACGTCGTTGGTCACTTGGAAATATTGAAAATAAAGCTCCAATATTTAATGAATATATTTTTATGTATTTTAAAGATCTTAATGATCATATAATACAACTACATGATCGTATTGATACATATTGTGATTTATCATCAAGTTTAATGTCATTTTATATGATACTTAATGATGCTGAAATGAATAGAATAATGACATTTCTTACATTAATTTCAGTTACTTTTATTCCATTAATGTTTCTTATTGGGCTATTTTCAGTTAATTTTCATAATACTCCACCATTAAAATGGCATTATGGGTATTTTTGTGTTCTAGCTGCTTTAGGATCTTCAGCTAGTATTATGATTTCGTTTTTCAAATGGAAAAAATGGTTATAAAAAACTTTTTATTTATTTATTTATTTCTTATTGTAGAACAAAACGACCTTTGTTAATATATTTAATCTTTTTATTCCTAAAATAACAATTTAATAGAAGTAAAAACAAATTTATTTTTAAAATAAAACAAACATATTTTATTCTTGAAAAAGAATATAAATATAAGACCAACTATTTTTCTGTTTATTCAATTCTATGAATAGAATATGAAACATACTGGAATATATTATCCATATCCAGAATGAATACATAAGCCTCTATATAATTGAATAAGTACAATTATTGGTTAGATGTATTCATGCAATAGTGTCTGAGGAAACAGCTGTTCAAAATAGTTAGAATACTTTTTTAATGACAAAAATACAGAACGAAAAGAAAAAAGACGGCGATAGAATATTTATTGCTTCCAAAGTAGAAGCTGTTTTATTGTTTGCTTATAGTACATTAAAAAAAAATATTTTTAGCTTGTAAAAGAAAATGAAAGTAATGCGTAAATCGTAATCTACTAGATAAAAAACTATAAGTATATCTACATATACATATATATTCAAACGATATAGATTGTTATTTTTGTATGTTTTATTGTTATAGATAGAATAGATAAATCGGATTTTATTTTTATTAATAACATTGTTCTATTATTAAACAAAACAGTTAGATGAAAGATGTCTAATACTACTGGTCATGAAGATCTTGGTGCAAAATTATTAGCAGGTGGACTATCATGTATGTTTATATCAGCTGTTCTCAATCCAATGGATGTTATTAAAGTTGTATTACAAACTCAATCACAATTAAAAGCTCTTGATAATCATCCACATCCAGTAAGTGATTTATTTTTACATCCATCTCGTTCATTATATACACATGCACGATATCATGGTACATGGCATGCAGCTAAATCAATTTATTATGAAGAAGGATATGGTCGAGGTTTAATGAAAGGTATCACAGCATCAATGTTACGTGAAGCAAGTTATAGTAGTATTCGTATGGGTCTTTATGATTCAATTAAAATTCTTTTAGCTCCAAGTGGAACCTCGAAAAATGAATTTAGTTATTGGCAGAAACTACTTGCTGGTGCTGGATCAGGTGCATTAGGAAGTTTTATTGCAACACCAACTGATCTTGTTAAAATACGTTTTCAATCATATTCACCACGTCATAAAAATCCATATAAAAATACGTTTCATGCATTTTATTCTATTCTTAAATATGAAAATGGCATTTATGGTTTGTATAAAGGTGCAACACCAACTGTTTTACGTGCAGCTATATTAACAAGTATGCAATTAAGTACATATGATCAAAGTAAACGAATTCTACTTCGTTCTGGTTATTTTCAAGATAATCCAATAACACATGTTATTGCAAGTCTAATTAGTGGATTAATAGCAACAACAGCAGTTAATCCAGCTGATATTATTAAAACTCGAATTATGAGTGATAATACAACAAAAGATCGTCTTTATAAAAATCCTATTGATTGTGCTTATAAAACAATGATGAAAGAAGGTCCACAAGCATTTATGAAAGGTTGGTTACCAAATTATCTACGTATTGGACCACATTCTCTCGTATCATTACTCTTAACAGAATTTATTCGAAAACTACTTGGTGTTGATTCATTCTAATACTATTTGCTCATTGTACACGCTGTTTATTCTTCTAATTCAACTTCTTTAATTAGAAGATTATTTCATATTTTCTATATCTTCATTTTTATCATAGTGAAAGTGAACATTTATATTTTTTTGTTTTTCATATTCATGTGAGATGAAAGCTTTTTTTTTATAGAAATAAAATCTATTCATTTGAATGATACATCATTTGTTTAAATATATTCCATGATCTACTAATGATTTACGAGAACTTACACGATATGCAGTACGTAAATATACATCTTAACATTATAAAGCATTAGAAACAAGTTATTAATTTTTTTCGTGTTGAACAAATATCAAATGCTAATTGTCGACTAGATGATACATCGTTAACGACAGGTATGGCTTGTAGGAATTAATCAACACAGATATTTATTGTTAATAAGTGAAAATTTACTTTTATAAAATGTTATTTTATTATAAGAGCAATTAAAATTTTTTGGACGCATCATTCGAAATAACTCGATTATTTGAATCAAGTCAACGTCACTTGCCTGTCTATTCCTAGTCTATACAAACATGCAACTCAAGTCTAAGTCAAAAATCAGACTAGTCAAGCTGTGATTAATTTAGAATGGAAGATTATTTCTTATCTGAGAATATATTTTATTAGTTTCTACGAAAATAAAAAAGAATAACGCTATAATTCTTACTAAAAAAATGATATTATTCATGTTTCGATTATTCTTTAAACTCTAGATAAATAACTGAAAATTGTAACAAAACAATAATCGAATTATTTTCTTTTGAGTATAGGATAAATCAAAACATATTTTATTCTCTTGTTACAATCATTTTATTTTAGCTGATTCAAATATATTTTACTTTCATCAATTACTTTCTTTTATTCAAAAAAAAAATTCTGACAAAATTTCGACATGTACAACAATAAAGGAAAATATTCTTCAAAATGTTTTCGTCGAACAAACGGCTTATCCATATGAAGTTCTTTTAGTTTAGAACAATAAAATCGCGTTGCATCATTAGTGAAGTAATTTGTTACAATTTCCAGTGATTCATATAAGATACATAGATCCAATAAACAAGGTAAATGAGTGTTAGTATCGATGAGAAATTGTTCAGCATAATCATCATGTGCGTCAATAAGATTAAGAAGATTAAGATGAGCAAAACTAATTAATGTCGAAGAATGTTGCTTGTTTTTTTGTGGTTCCAAATTGGATACCGTCAAGTTTTTTAAAAAAGGAAAACTATCAGAAACAATTTTAAAGAATTCATGTTCAAAAGGATATGAATCAGTCATTGTTAAGCATCGGACATTAACGAACATACCACCTTCAAAAGAATTATTGAGATCAAGAAAACTTTTGAACTGATATGGAAGTGAATATATATGAGATTTGACCACAGCCTTTGCTTCTTCAAAATCGATAACTCTATTTTTTGGCTTTCTTGGTTCAAAATGCACATATGAACCAACTTGTCCATATTCTCTTCCA